CATTGATAATATCTCTGGGCTGGAAATGCAATACAGTGGCCGGACATATTGCCATATATATTGTTGTTGGCTATGAGGGGATAAGAACAACAACAATAACAACAAACTCTCTTATAACTGCTACAATGTCAGGTTAGGTAAAGAGCACTCATGATATTTGATGCTGGTAACTTCTATCATTTCTCTGAAAAACATTCTTGCTTGATTTTAGAAGTCTATGTTTTCTTTTTTCTATATGCCATCCTCTTTGTAGTGTCTGTCTTTCCTGTCATTCTTGAAAACTTTGCTTCCACCAATTTGTAACTCTAATGTATATGTATAGATAACATCACCCATACCCACAGTTTGAGCTATTAGCTAAAAGCTGATGACTCTCAAAGTCATTTCAACAAAGTTTACTCAACTGCTAGCTGTGCCCTAAGTTACACTCTAGTTTTTCCCCAGAACAATAGCATCACTAGTCTTGTGTGTGGCTACCAAGGACTGAAAGGACATTGAAAGCTCAGTTGTTTTCGCAGATAATTAAGGCTATCACCAGGCATGGCCCATGGGACACAGCTGGACATGTTAGGAGGTCACAGTGGAAATCCACTTCACAGCAGAGCATGCTTGCAATTTTTTTTCCTTCTTTCTGCCTGCCTGCTTTCTCCTGCTTAAGACACTGCTGCTGCCTTCTTGGACTCTGAACTCAGGGCAACAGATTATAGGGCTTCAAAACAAAAAATATTGCCCAGGTTCTCTTTAGATGAACACTTCCTTCAAAACAAACTAATTTCTCCATTATTCATATAAATCAGAAAACATGGATCATGCCATTTACCTTAATATCAAATCAGGGTTATGGTATAATTTCAAATTGTCACTTCCCTTTCCTTTCCCTCCATTATATTCATTTCTTCAGCCTTATTTCCAGTTACTCAGGCACACTTCTTAACTATTTACATCTCTGAAACATTTAAAAAATGAAAGAACATGCATTCCTTTTGATAAAATTTCTTTTGGAAATTCAAAGAAAACAATGGCAAGATATCAGAAAATCACACATGAGGCTTGTCATTCTTCCTGAAGTTCACAGTGAATGCAACACTGAATGCCTCATTTCTTTCACTAACCAAGTATTTTTCTTATTTCTCCTCCTTTGGGGTCGCTAAGAAACATTTGTGTTTGATGCTACACTTAAAATATGTTGAGATGCCATATGATTGTTAGATCTTCTTAGAATGTTTTAATAAGATAGGAAACATAATTGGTTGGGTGTACGTGTGTGTGTTTCCATCTTCTTAAACAAACAAAAAAGGGCTGGCCAAATAGCTCAGTGGATTAAAGCACCTGCAAGCAGGCACAGGGGCCAGGGGTTCAATCCCTGGGCCTGCCTTACCAGCCCCACCCCCAGGGCTCGCTGAGACAGGGTGTGGTGACACGCTCCTGGAATCCCAGCTCTTGGGAGGCTGTAAATAGGACAATCACTATGAGTCCGATCTAGTAGTGAGACCCTGAACACCCTGTAGCCCCTTAGCCAAAAAAAAAACCAATAAATAAATAAAGAAACAAAGAGAAAACTAATATCATTTACTCCTAAACTGAATGCATTTTTCTGCAATTCAAACTTTTCAAATTTGAGAAAGCATCAACTCCATTTCACCTGTATGTGCACATGGCTTACGTTCTCACTGTATCCTCACTTTACTCAGATGCCACTTTATCAGTGTTTTCTTCTCCTTTTACCTTGGGCAAGATAACACCCTCCTCCATATGCCAGTCTAACACTTAGAGACAGACCTGACAGTGAAGAATGCAGTTATTTGTAACTTTATTTACATGAGATCTTCTTACACTAGGCATTTACTGTAGTATGTCAAAACTTTCTTTTACAGTGTTGATGTGTGTGCCATAAAGCATGCAAATAGAGGAAATAGTTAATATAAATTTGTTAAATTAAGGAATGTTAGGAGAATAAAAAGTAACTAGAGGACTGGGGAGATATAGCTCCATGGTTTAAGTGCCTGCCTGGCAAGCCCGGGGACCCAGGCTTGATCCCCCGTGCCACATGCTGCGCCATCACTGCGTCATGTCTGCCCCTAAAACCAGGTGTGGTGGTGCATGCCTGTAATCCTAGTGCTGGCAAGGCTGAGACAGCAGGATCTTCATGAGTCTGAGCTGCGTAGTGAGATCCTTTGCCAAACAAATAAATGAAAATCTAATAAAAGAGAAGTAACTAGAGTGTGTGAGGAGACGAACAATGGCGGCTAAGTGATACCGCTCTACATTACATGGCCTGGAGCAGCGGGCCTTACCTTCAGGCGTGGATTAAGAAATTTTGAAACAAAATCCAAGAACTTGTGTTTCTAATAAATACACTCCCTGTTGATGCTCACGTTGATGTCCAAAGAAACATATTTTGTTTTAAAGAAGTAAAGTTTTATACTATTTGAAATTGTATTTTTAAAATAAGTGCTTCAAGTCTTTATTTAATCAATTATTCTCTCATTTCATTTTCTCTTTAAAAATTAGCAATGATTCATCACAGTATAATTCTTTATGTCAAGGAGACCTAAACAAAGTGGAACAAAAAGAGCAGAAAATGTTCTATGTTCAATCAAGATACTAGCCAATGCTCATGTATAATAGGAGTGAGTATATGTACAATGCTGTTTTAAGGGAAACTTTTTATTTTTAATAAATATAAAAATAATATGATAAAATGATCATAATGTAAAATGCCATCTTAATTATTTTTAATTATACAGCTCCTTGACAAGCACATTCACATGTCTGATTAGTATCCAGAGTTCTTACATTTTGCAAGACTGAAACTTTGTGTTCACTAAGTAATACCTTCATATTTCTCCTTTCCCTGGATCCTTCCTAGAAACCACCATTCCATTTTCACTTTCTGTTTATGTGAAGTTGATTAACACCTTATATCCATGCAGTCATACAGTACTTTTTTTTTTTTTTTCTTAATGATTGGCTTGCTTTACTTTTGTGCAGTGTCCTCAAGAGAAATGCGGGTTGCAGAATGTGTTAGAATCTCCTTACTTTGAAAGGCTGAATTGTATCTTGTTGTATGTATAGATCACATTCTACTTCTTTATTCACTTGTTAATGGACTCTTGGGTGGATTCCGTCTTTCGGATACTGCTGCTGGCTACTGTTGGATAATGTTGTTATGAACATAGGTATGCACATAACTTTGGGGTGTTCACTTTCTATTATTTTGAACATAAACACAGAAGTAGAAATGCTAGATTACCAATAATTCTATTTTTTTAATTTTAATTTTATTTTAGGGAAGGGTCTACAGGGTATTCAGCGTCCTACTACTAGATCGGACTGGTAGTGATCTGCCTGTTTGCAGCCTTTCAAGGGCTGGGATTACAGGTGCATGCCACCATGCCCAGTCTCCACTGCCATCTCAGTGTGCCCAGGGGGCGGGGCCAGCTCTGCAGGCAGGGGGATCGAACCCCAGTCTCTGAGCCTGCTTGTAGGTGCTTTAATCTGCTGAGCTACTTGGCTGGCCCTCTATTTTTATTTTTTGAGATTTTCAAAGGATTTTTCGTAGTAGCTAAATCATTTTGCATGTCCACCAACAGTGCCCAAGAGTTCAAATTTCTCTACATTCTAGCTGATCAGTCACATTTTCTGTAATTTTATACTAGTCTTAGATATGAGTGCAAAGTGATATCTCATTCCGGCTTTGATTTGGTCAGTGATGCACAATGCAATTTTTAGGCTGTTCTCATCTAGTACTGAGTCCTGGTGAGCTAAAGAACATATCGCGGCGTAGGTACCATCAAGACCTGAAAATTCTCACAGTGGGGCATGCACATCACCAGGCCCCTATTTTCCCTCTCTGAAGTATTCATTCCTAAATTTGAAGAACTCAGATATTGGCAACTATTTATCCCTTAACATTAAAATCAAAATATTTATATCTCTAGAATTATCTAAAAATAATTTTCTTCATGGGGCCTAAGAATATTTCTTTTTATAGCCTCGTGTTATTTGGTTCTGTAATGCTGTCACTTATCTCATGAATTCTCTCAGTTGATACCAAACAATGTGTGATTGATATTGGTTTGACTACTTCTTTCTCTTTCTAGAATTATGCTGGTCCTGGGTATAACAGTGAAAAATGAATTAACACTGTAAGTGCACTATTTCAGCACACTGTGTCTTTGTGTGTTTCATAACATGCCGAATACATTAGAATTATTTATCTTAAAATCACATTAGCTGAGTTTCTTTGTTTCTGAATGCACTATATTTTACCTATTTTATTTTTAACATGAGGAATTAAACCTGGGCTGTGGCTAAATACGTGAAGCCAATTTGAGTATAATTCTATTCAACTTTGTAGCCTTTTTCTTTGATATAGGACACACTAAGGCAAAACTAAATATGACAAATTGTTTCATACTCTCATACCTGTATTCCTCATGTTTAATATAATACAACTTCACTGAAAACAAAAAGTCAACTTATGCTACTGTATTCAGCAAGGCAGCACAGTTTTCAGACCACTCTGACATTTGTCTTTCTTGCTTATAGTATGTGAAGATGGCTATTCATGTCACATGCTCACTGTCACATCCAGATAGCAAAGAAAACATCCTTCTAATACAAGCATCACACTATCGTCAAGTAGGTACCACAAAATGAGAAATATTTTAATATTGAATTGAAAAGAATCGTCTTGGGCTCTAAGTGCTTATAGAAGATGTAAATGTATCTACCTACAATTTTCAATCAGTAGCTCTATTGTTCAGGGGAGTAAATGACAGAATAAGCACCCTCTAAGCATTTTATTCAGAGAAGGTAGAAAACAAAGAATGTGAGTTCAAGGTAGGCGGACAGGTTGATTTAGCAATACTTGGAACCTGCTGTTTCTCAAGCACTGTTATAATGGATGTATTATTTGGATAGCAGGGTAAGCACATTCTGTAGAAAAACTAAATTAATTGTCAAATTGACTCAGAAAACCTTTCCAGCATTCTTACTTGGAGGCAGATCCTTCATTTTGGGAATATAAAAATGCTCCCTGAAATGCCTTAGCTCGTCCTCCTTATCCAGGCGGAGGGCAACTTGCTCATCCCCTGGGTGGCACTGGAGCTCAGCCGCAATGCGCTGTACTCTGTCAGCTGGCAGCTCAAGAGGAGATGTCTCCATTGTGAATGGTGCTCTGTAAAAGTAGAAAATAATAAAGCAAATGAGGCAACCTTATTCTTCAGAAGAAAACTACCTCTTCATGGAATATACTTTTTAAGAAGGGTTAAGGTGATCATTTTCCTAAGTGAAGAGATAATAACAGAAACACTGAATCTACTGGAAAATATAATTGGTGAAATTCTTCATGACTTTGTCAAAGGTACATGATTAATGAGCAGAAGTTTGGTTGTGTGAAAAATGATAAAAAGAAATAATAAATGAGAATATCTAAAATTCAAAAGGTTTTTTCCCTGCAAAGGAAACTATCAATAAATTGGAGATAACCTATATAGTCAAAAATAATCTTTATCAGCTACTCATCTGCAGAGGACTAATACTTAGAACATGGAAAGAACTAAAAAAAAAATAGACCACAAGAAATAGAAGACTAGATTAAAAATGGGCAATTAAAATAAATAAATCCTTCTCAAAAGAAGTTCAAATGACAAATATATACATGAAAACTGTTCAGCCTCTTTAGCCACTAGAGAAACAGGAATCAAAAAAAACCTGAGAACAGGGATTGTTCCAGACAGAATGGCAGTCATCAAGAATTCAAAACACAACAAATGCTACAGAGGTTGTAGTGAATGTGGCATCTTCTAGGTGTTGGAGGGATTATAAGCAAGTTCATTCATTATAAAAATCGACATGAAGGACCCTCAAACCGCTAAAAATAGAGATTCAGTTTGACCCAGCCCTACTTCTGTGGTATCACATTGATACATGCATACCTATGTGTATAGGGGTACACTCTACAATAGCTCAAGTCTGAAAGCAGCAAAGATTCCCATTAATGATGAACCCATAAGGAAAATATGGCATGTCTACACAGCAGAGTTCTACTTGAGCATGCATTCAAGTCATCTGTAGGAAACCACTTGGATCCTGATGTAACAGGCAGGGAGAATTCAAAATGAGAAAATGAGCAGAAATGATGGAAGTGGGGGACAGGAGGAGGGAGGGGAAGTAAAATGGTTCATACCATGCTATGCACATGTACCAATTTCCCCCAAGATGATTGTAATTTTAGGTAGATTCATAGCTATAGAGAACCAAAGCATAGTAATGAGAGGGAATCTCTAGGCTGAAACAGAGCTATGTGAGGGTCGGTATGTGCTTTTTTTCTGAAGGAAAATTATGTGGTCATTTCTGAACCAATTTTGTGAACTCTTAGGCCTGAAGGAGATAACAGAAAGGGCAAAGGTCTTGGGGAACAGATAGGTGTGTTCTGTTCTGCTAATTCACTAGGAAAATGAGGGGCACTGTGATGCAATGGGCACAGTAAGAAGTTAATCATGAAAAGCTTTGTAGGTTGGAAAAGGGTTGAGTATTTTTCCAAGTTGATTGGGAAACCACTGGAGAGTTTTAAATAGGAGAATGGTCATACCATTTTATATTAAGTACAAATCAATGCAGTGTAATAAGTTATAAAATTGAAAGAGACAAATTAAGGCTATTATAGTAATTTAAGAGAGAAATGAAGATTTAATTGGGTCATGAGCATAAAGGTTGAAAGCAGTGTTTTGAGTCTTGATATATTTAGGGGAAAAGTAGATAAGACTGTGACATATTCTCTGGTGAGAACAGGAAAAGGAGGTATTTTTAGCCCTAGACACCAAGGAAATATGTGAAATATGGTAAAATAAAACATACTTGGAAAAGAAAAAAATCTGAGGAGGAAAATCTAAGTACTTTATAGAGTGTATTAGAATTCAGGTAAGTATTGAACATCTAGGTAGCAAGCAATGTCAAGGTGGTCTGTAACTTAGGGGGATATTCAATCGATAGATACTTTTGGCATTTTTCAATTTATACATGGTCTTGAAATTCTAAAACACCTAGGAATCCATTGTAACAGAGTTGAAGCCCCAGAACTTTATTTTAATCTTTCTTTTTTCTATGCTCTTTCCCACTCTAAAACCATACTGGGAGAGATTGCAGTTTCCTCTGCTATTATGCAATGTCATGAGTCATATTTTCTCCATGGTAATTTACAATCGTCTACTTGTTGGACAATTTATTTTTCAATTGTGTTCTAATAAGTCATTCTTAATTTTGTTATTCAAAGATATTAAAATTCACTTATGCATTTCTCTATTTAGACATAGTTATAGATCCCAAAGGCTTTAATTCTGATTTTATACAAAAATCAGTGATTCTAACAATGATGTTACTGTCCTTCAATATCTCAATATCCTAAATTATGGTTTTGTGTGTCTTGACATTTTCTGTTGATGTGAGTTTTATTTAATATCATTTCATTTGCCCAAACTATTGAGGTTTCCTTTTTTTGTGTAGATCCCATATGTATTTCAGAATTCTCACTTAAATTCCACATTCTTCCTGAGGCATGCTGTCATGTTTCTGCTAAAAGTAGTGTTTTGTAATTTATACATTTGTAACATTTATAAATATGTCTTTTGTGAGAACTAACATTTTCTACGAGGTATTATTATCATTGTTTTCTTTTTTACCCATATGTAAGTGGAAAGGTGAAAAATATATGCCACGCCTATAACTTGACTCTAAGTGCTTCTCTAACTTAGCTTGCTGATGAAGAAACATGTAATTTGAATACTGAAGCCAACAACTCCACCTCGTGGCACAGTAGATTGGTCCAAGTTGATTAGCCCCTTTCTGGATACATTCGCAACTACAGCAAGAGTATTAAGGAAACGGTCTGTGACTGGCCCTATGAACTCTAACCAAAGAGAGATGATGGTGTTTAGCTGAGCGTGTAATCAAATTCTTTCAAGACTCTGATCTTTGAGATGTATTTATTTCTTCTGCTGTGTTTATTTATGAAAAAGAAGCATGAATTCATAAGCACCAGGGAGAAGCTATGAAATTACAGGATCTAGAAGTACTGTCATGAATGCCCATTTTTTAAAAGGAAAATAGAAACCATGAGGGTTTTTTTTTTTGTTTGTTTGTTTTGTTTTGTTTTCCTGAACCAAGGATTGAATTCAGACCCTGTGCTTGCCAGGGAAGCACTTATTCTACTGAGCCATCTCCCTGGTCCCTATGAGTTGTTAAAGCAAGGAAAACATGAATCTATTCCAGAAGAAAGTACAAATCACTTAGCTACACAATTATTGGTGATCAAAGACCAATGTCTCCTGGAAAACTGACAGGGAGACAGTCCTGTCTTAAGGGTCATTGTGTCCTTCCATACAAGGCACTAGGAGCTCAACCATTTGGCTCTTTCTGAACTTCTGTTACATATTTTTCTGTTGAATTATTAAGTATGTCCTCAGCATAAACCTGTTACTTAACAAAGCTTCACTGAGTTTTCAGGCTACTCCACTGAAGGTATCATTTATCTGGGGGCTAAGTCATGTTCATTTTTATATCTATGCAGCCACAACTGTGCAGTGCAGTTTTCAAGGAAGAATATCCCCACCATGATTGTGAAATAAGAAAATAAACAGAAAGGCTAGAAAAATTGTGTAACATAATTGTTATTATTATTATTATTTTTTCTATTTTAGGGAAGGGTCTACAGGGTGTTCAGGGTCTCACTACTAGATCAGACTCATAGTGATCCACCTGTTTATAGCCTCCCAAGAACTGGGCTTACAGGTGGGCACCACCAAGGCCAGTCTCATGTGTAATGTAATTATTCACCGATACCTAAAAAGCTACCCGTTGTCATCTTGATCACATGAGAAACAGTGAGAAAATCACTGCCAGTACAACTCAGAATCAAAAGTTTACCTTACATTCAAAAGCTTCTTGGGAGAACTGGCACTTGGAAACTTTACTTGAGATGACTTAATACTCAAAGATACTATGTAGATATTCATATTAGTGTACTATGAGTATTAACTAGTATAATTAATCATTCTAAGCAAAAATTCAATTTTACTTTTCTATTAAAATATTCTGGCTTTTTAATATCTATGTGTATATAATCATTTTAATATTTATATATTTAATCTTAAGCAGTCTTTCTTAATCTGTTACCAGCCAGGCATAAATTGAAGTCTGGTCCTACTTATGAGCTTGTCCCACCTCAGGGATTATAGAATATGCTTAGGAGTCTCTCGCAGAGTGTGTCCTGATTCGCGCCTAGCCATGCACAGCCTCTAGCAGACTTAAATGTCACCTTTGTTCACAAAGTAACAATGTGCTGTCACTCTAAGGATGTCACGTATTAATTCATGTTTTGCCACTTAATGCTACATTCATCTCATCAGATAAGACAATGCTTTGTAAGCCATCATTTTGTGCCCGAATATTATTTGCAAGTAGACTGATGAGCTTATGTATTAAAATGAAATTAAGAACTAGTTTCTAGAAAACACTTCTGATTACTGTTGTTTCACTATTAAGTGCCAATTTTATTTAGAATGTGGACAAATATACTAGTTCACTTCAAGCAAGTCACATGGTGTTCGGATTATTGTTATATAATATAAAATTAAAATTTATTGACTTAAGGCAATCATTGTGAGGGTGAGCTCACCTTAATAAAGTCTTTTATGAAAAGGATGAAAGATATCTTCATGATGTTGTTTATATGAATAGGGCAGAATTACCTTTGTGCCCTTTATTTTAAAATTTTCGTAAATAGGGTTTTCATGATGCTATTTAGATACTCAAAACTTTGGAGATAAGATTGGTGTTTTTACTAAAAGCTGATTTTATGGTGTCAAACAATCAGGCTGTCCTACTCAAACACAGGTCAGAGGTTAAACAGTTAAATAAAGCACCATGAGCAAGCAATAGTTAATCTTTACACAGTGATGTTTTGTGCTTGAGATGAGCAAATTGTACTGAGTTCAAAGTTTGAACTTAGTAAAGTCTTGTGTGTGTGGCGGGGTATGAGTATTTTATTGACAAAAAAAAAGTCAATTTTTTAATTACAGGGGCCGGCCAAGTAGCTCAGCAGATGAAAGCTCCTGCAACCAGGTACAGGGGCAGGGATTTGATCCTGGCCTGCCGTGTGGGCCCCGCCCTCGGGGTGCAATGAGACAGGGATTGAGACCTGGCGTGGTGGTGGGCATTTGCAATCCCAGCTCTTGGGAGGCTGTAAACAGACGGATCACTACTAGTCTGATCTAGTAGTGAGACCCTGAACACCCCGTACACCCTTCCCTAAAATACAGAATAATATTAGTACTACTACTAAGACTATTAATAATTGCATAGGATAAGGTTCTTTAGCAGTGCCGCTGGGCCCTGAGGGACAAGGCAACCATGACTGCGTCTTTCACCGCTAGGATAGAAATCACTCCCAAGTCTCACAGAAGGAAGACCATGACCGATGCTCTTGTGCCAATGCCGTCTTTCTCAACATTAAAGCAAGAAGGAAAAGCACACAAGTATTCAGTACACAGAGAAAACTATATCAACTTTCTTCAGTTAGGCAAATACTCCACAGAGTAAAGAGGAAGAAACGCTTCACATGAATAGACACTTTCACTTCTCTAAATATTTAATATGACTAATTACAGCCTAAGGCAACGGGAATTACCAGAAAACAATGGACAACTTAAAACTTATTTGAAGATATCTTTGTCTCATCCAGAATTTGATCTAACTTTACTACGTAAGTTCAAGTAATGACACAATTAATCATTAATTACCAAATGTAATCTAGTTTAGATGAATTACAGTTGCCAGTAATATTTATTATCAATACACTGCCAAAAAAATCTCTTTACTTAACCTGTTTTTAAAAATGAGGGATTTTAGGGAGATGTGACAATTTTCTTTATGAAGGTAATTCAGAGAAGGAGGAAATGAGCAGAGGAAACCTGCGAAGCACTGTGACAACTGTAGCAGAGAAAACCTGCCAGTGGAAAAAATCCACTTGCCGCGACGTTTCTGCGCCGAGAGCCTGTCAGTGCCCTTGCTGCTTACCGGGTTGGAGCTGGCAGAGTGCGCGGCCGCCGGGATTCTCCCAAGAAAACTTCCAGGAGTTCTTTGCTACTTGTCTACAGAATCTTAGGTGAAAGAGTAAAAGAACAGCTCAGACTCCACCCTGTGGGGGATTTCTGCGATAACTTTAGTTCCTCCCACCTCAGCTAATCTGAATGTCCAGGCAAGAGCACATGCAGACACCCACACCCACCACACACACACACACACACACACACACACACACACACACACACAGAGTTAAGCACAATGCTGTTTTTGCTCATTCATGATTGCAGACAAAATCTGAAGTTCTGTTGCAATGTCCTTCCCTCCAAAATTCTGATCTTTAGACTAAGGTAACACCTTCTGTCTACTATTTAGTGTGTGAGCTAACAAATGTGTCCTAGAGTTAAATTTCAAAACTTGTACTCATTCTTTGCACTGGAGTACTGTATACATTGCACAAAAATCCTCTCAACTGGTGATTTTCTTGTGTATTTTGAAGCTGAACCTCAACATCATAGACATAGTGAGGTTTTAGTCTGGGATAGTTTGTGACACTTAAGGTTTGTAGTTAATAGTGCAAAGTAGGTGGTTGATTCTAGAATACACTTTATTGTCTAATATGTGGAACTAAAAAACTCCCAATTCCATCCAGAGATGTGGAGTTTGCCTCTAATCCTAGCTACCCAGGAGACTGAGACAGGAGTATCACAAATTGAAAGCTAGTCTTAGCGAGACTTAAAATATGAAATAAAAAAGAAAGAAAAAGAAAGGGGTGGCAGTGGGTACTGTAGCTCAGCATTCTCTGGGTTTAATTGCCAGCACTTCAAGGAAACAAACAAACAAGAGAAACCCAAAACAAACAAAACCTTTTCTAGTTCACAAATTTAGACAGTCAGTAAGACAGTAAAAATAAGCCAAAAATAAAAACTGAAAGAGGAAAGTATATCCCTAACCTGTGACACTGCATTGTTCATGGTTACAACAATTCTGGGCCCTCTGCTCTGCTGCACGATGTATGCTGGCCCTCTGGACTTATTCCTGAGCTCGATCTTTTGGTGACAAATGTGCTTTAGCTCTAGCATTGTAGGGCCAGGGTTTTCAGAGTTTGCAGTGCAGATCGATATCTGCCATGAATAGTTGAAACATTTATGTTCTGTTCAGAACTCACCGCACACTGGACAATGGATTATTTATTTAATCATTTCTGCAAAGTGTTCACTGCAGGATCTTGAGCAATTTACTTCACTGATGATGATGTGCATGTTTTTCTGTGTCAGACAGATGCAAAAGTACAAGATTACTGAGATAACAAAGTACAGGACTAAAAAGCCGTTGTACCACATCACTTAAATCAACCAGCAATACGTTCTTTATTTTTTAAATTAACCATACAAAAGCACGGCCCTCCTGTCTCCAACAGCAGGGATGGAAAACATAAGATTATGTTAATACAAATAACTGAGCAGTTTAAACAATATATATTCCTTCTCATTAATCCTATCTCATTCTTTTTTTTTTTTTTTTTTTTGACCAGGGATCGAACTCAGGACCTTGTGCTTACCAGGCAGTCATTCATGCCGCTGAGCTATGTTCCTGGCCTCCTATTATTACAATCTTAAAAAATAGAAAATTCTCATTTGATTCACTTGGAACAATAAAAATTTAGATACAGTAATAGGTTTTCTACCTGTCTTTGCCTTGTGCCATTAAGACTTTTTAAGAATGGTTCCATTGTACCCTGTGGAAGTGAGCTTCGGGGGTCGTGGTGGGTTGTGTCATCTTCAGTAGTAGTACAACACTCCATTGGTGAGTGACCACAGATACAAATACAATACTAAAGGTCTTATTTTCATATTGTGTCTTGTAAAATCTTTCAGTGATACCATTAAAAATAAATATCACTCAAATATCATTTTAGAAATTATTGCTTAACATTACTACATTTAAAATAGTTACAAGGCTGGCCAGATAGCTCAGCAGACTAAAGCACCTGCTTAGGCAGACGCAGGGACTGAGGTTCAATCCCCAGTATGCCATGCAGTCCCCATCTCCAAGGGGCACTGAGACAGTGATTGAGACTGGGCTTGGTGGAGTGCCCCTTAATCTCAGCTCTTGGGAGGCCGAAAACAGGAGAATCACTCTGAGTCCCATCTGTATAGTGAGGCCCTGTAGACCCTGTACCCTTTAGACCCTGAACTACATACATTTAACATAATAAATAAATAAAACAGTTGCTTTGAAGTCTAAATCATACTACTGTTTCTTATGATTTGTGAATTTCTCTCTGACTGTCATTACATCTGGTGACATTTCAAAGATGAAGCAAAAATCTTGTATGTGTTAGTCAGGACTTGAAATGCTGGGCACAAGCTGGTCAGCAAAAACCCTTATTTTGACTGATGTCTTTAGAAGTCTAAAGGATTTCTCTTCCCATTGAAGTAAGAAAAATTAAGAGTCCCTGTGGAGCAAGACGTGAAAGTACAAAATTTTTAACTTTTTTAAAAAGAAGGAAAAGAAGAAAATAAAATGATTTTCCCTTCTTTAATCTTTAGAAACAGAAAGAAAAAAAAGTGTTGTCAGAATAAATTATACTGATACCCATAATTTCCACATGTGCTATCTCAGTTACAACTTGATAGATCTTTGTAAGGTACGGGCTATAATTTTATCCTCAGAAGAAATGGCATATGACTGGAACTAAATAAATGTCTACTGATATTTATTTATCAAAATGGTCAAGTTATATTTGTCTTAAAGATTTATTTTCTTTTATCAAGAATGATAGGTATGGGGGGGCTTGCTGATCAGCTCAGTTGTTTAAAGCACATGCTTAGGCAAACTCACCCAGGCGTGGGGGATGTCGGTTCCATCCCCACCTCCACATGTCGAACCAGACCAGCCCTTAAGGCAGCCTGAGTCAGGCAAAAAAAAAAAAAAAAAGGAAAAGAAAAAGAAAAATCTTTCTCAAGCATCATAGGTATGGAAGGAATGTTCTGGGGTTTTTTTTTTTCCATTTTTAAAAAGCTTTACTGGCAACTTTACTATTGATGAAAATATCTTTTTTCCCATAATTTTATTGAGAAACAAATAGCAATGAGACAGTTTCAAATCAAATTGGTAGGACATATTCAATAATTAACACATTGCCTACTCTCTTCCTAGTGTTTATTTGCTGTACAAGATGCAGACATGATATCCTATTTACAAACACTATTAGAACAAATCCCTCTATTCATTAAGAGAATGTAACTATATATCTA